GCGGTGAACGTCTGTAATCACGAAATGCGGAATATACATACTATAAAAAAATAAAGAAAATTTCAAAACCGGCGACACCCGGGGACTCGGATAAACGGCGAAAAAAATACTAAGCAGACGACGAAGGAATGCGTATACAGGGAGATTCGAAAGTGTAATTTTCTAGTCCGATTCTGTACGCGACCTTAGGTAAGTAGCCCAAGTTCGGTGATTGTGCGCTGCACGGTACTGTATAGGTAAGTTATCTCTTTTGGTCGAAAACCATAAATCAACCAATTTCCGTTGTAACTATCTTTCTGTTCCATTAAACTTGTAATTTTATTTTTATTTCAAACAAACATTCTTTAGGTAGGTACTAGAACTAAAAGAAATTCGTAGAATGTAGTTATAAGAAATCTCCGCTTTATTGTTATGTACCAAACGGCGTTTCCCGGCGCGATTTTTTCACCCGTTTGCACCATGACAATTCAGTGTTTGTGTATATTGCGAAATTTCATCGAAATTGGTATTTTTTTGCGAACTAACGTAACCAGAAAATAATTTCCGAAATTTAATTCGAACGTAACCGGAAAATGTTAATGAAAATCCAACGGAGCGCTGAAGAATTTCGTTATGAAAACGTTGGTATTATTATTAAATAGTCGCCTATAAGGCCTATATTAGCCTTTTGATGTGTGTTTCACATTGATTTTCGTGGTGCTCTGCGGTATCTGATAAATTTATACAGGGAGATTATCTTTAATAGTTAATAAAAAAAAGTGAATGTAGCGAAATTGGAAAAATTGGTTAGAGGAAAAAATAGTTTTATTATTATCTCCCTACTCGTTTTTCACAAATACAACTTGTGCACGAACATCAACGAGTATTCCGGAGGATTTGGATTTTTGGGCCTTGCAAATCCCGGCAAAAAAAAATCCACAAACAACACAGAATTACAAAAAAAATGTTTGTTCCAAAAAATTTCACTCCTCTATCAAAAATTCCCTCTTCTACAATGTACTCATTTTAATCCGGCGCTGACGTCACAAGCTTTTAAAGTAATCTCATACAGACACTCTGTATAATTTTAATCCGTGTGAACGGAGAGCTTCGGATTTTTTACCAGCTCGGCGATTTCCGTCAACAATTCCATAAGAAACAGTCGCTATTCGAATATTCATGAATATCAATCAGAAACGAGGGGGGGGGGGGAAGGGCGGAGCGGGGGGAAATTTTAAGACGCTCTCGTGCATGTAAACAGGCAAAAACCGATTCGAACGTTTCGCCGAGAATTAATTAAAACGTTAGAGAAGGGAGAGGAAAATCTCGAGTTTCTAACCGCTGAATTAATCATCGGTATCGGATTAATTCTAATTAAAAGAAATCCCATTTCCTCCACACGCTGGCGATGAATCGTTAATGTAATTAATTCGAATCGAGAATTTTACCCTATAACTTGATTAATGAAAAAATGATTCATAAAATTCAAGCATGATTCAATAAAATTTGTAACTATTTATTTTTGTCCCGTCCTGTATATGGTATAAAGGAAGAATTTAAAGTACATATACCGAGCAAAAGGATAAATCAAATATGAGAAAGGAGCTCGCGGTTTAAGTTGAAAGCTGTTTTTTTTATATATAAAACATATATTTATCTACCTCTTTCTCCCTCGCATATAAATTTCCAATATCGATAAAAACGTACTGTTATTGTCTTCGCTTCGATACAAAAGAGGATCAAAACGTAATTCTCCGGGTTTTCGTATACGTTTCGATAAAAATATCCGTTTTCAAATTGAATTTACAGCCCGGGCCCTTTCCCTCAGCCCTCTCTCCTTTTTCTCGCGAAAATATATCTACATTCGAATTCCCGTTTATTTTTCATCGGTATGTTTCGACAACGGATTTTCCTCGTTCGAACGATTTTTCGAATTCTTATAAAAAAAAGAAAATTCTCCCACAAAAAACTAACTCAGAAGCATTTAAAACTGTCTATAACGCTCCAGAAACATTTAAAACTCTCTAGAACCATTTAGAACGCTCCATCAGAATAATTTTGAATTGTCCAGATTCATTTAGAACTGTCTAGAAGCATTTAGAAGGCTTCAGAATCATTTAGAACGTTCCGTAGTAATTTAGAACCCTACAGAATCAATTAGAACTGTCTTGAACTAAAAATTTTGACTTAATAAAAAGAATAGTATAATTTTTCAACCGAAAATCGCGGCCTTTCATTGTCAGGCCGAGAACTTTTCACCTTTTATACCCTTGCATTCGGAATAATTGCATATAGTACGTTCAATAATACACCGGCGTGACGTCATCACCTGATAATTTTTAATTCGCGTACAAAACGGTACACGTTCGCTTATCGAATGTGCCAATACATTGTATATGTACAGTGAAACTGCATATGTATTTTTTTTTTCGAAAATAATAGCGCGTTCCACTTTCTATTGATTGCGAACGTGTAACGTGAGCTAAATTAACGAACCGCCTTTACGTTTATACACGTTATTGTGATCGTGTAACTCGTTAAACGTACAACTATTTAACTAAAATCATTCGGAATCGATACGAAAACGAAACTATATACAGGATGTCTCAACACGATTATTCAACATTGAGCATGTCTCACCTTGTATATAGAGCAATGCTATTTTAACGAAATTTACGAAAAACTTTGATATTCCGTTGTAGTTTTCGAACGCTAACGTCATATTTTATATTATAGATAAAATATTAGATGTGGGAATACGTTATGTAGGGATTAAACTCGAAAGTTGCAAGCATAAATTTAAAAGGAAGGAACGAAGGAAAGGCGGAAAAGAAGCGAAGATTTGTCATGGAAAACGCGGAAATATTTCGCTTTGTGATGCGCGCCTCCTTCGGGGGTTCCGCGAAGTTTAAACAGCCGGACCTTTGTGGATGGTATATTTTATGTTTCAAGACGAATTTTATTCGTAATTTTCATATCGCGTTCGCGACGAGGACGTATGGAAGAGAAAATGTATAGAAGAGTATAAAGGGTGTTCATAAAATAGACGGACATATTTTAGAGGGCGCTTTCTTGTTAAAAAATATGGAAAAAAGTTGTATGTTTTTGGGCCACCCTATACTTGTATCTGGTTTATTTTTCAATCTAAATATTTGGGTCACCCTATACTTACATATTTTGCAACGCGAATATTATTTGGGCCACCTTATACTTGTAAAGTTTGCAATATGAATTTTTTTGGATCATTCTAGTGCTCGTTGTAGATATGTTTTACAATGCGAATATTTTTTGGGCCACCTGATATACTTCTGTCTTTTATACAGGGTGTTCATAAAATAGACCGAGATATTTTAGAGAGCTAAATTGGCCTCTTATACAACAAAATAACATTACCAAATTTCAACAGAATCAACAGAATCAGAATAAATATTTTCCAAGATATTAATAATTTTTTTTTATTTTAACATCCTGTATCTTGAAAACTGTGCATTTACGGACCCATGTTTATAGAATCTTTTTTTCATATTTTTTAACAATGAATCACCCTCTAAAATATCTCCACTCTATGTATGATTGTAATTTTTTTTCATGTATTTTTGGACTACCCTATACTTGCATATTTTTTCTTATTATTTTATAAACACCCTGTATGAAATTTCCAGTATATTCACGTGTGGAATTGCAATGATGTATACCGCATACGTATAATATTGATCACGTTTCCGGTTAAATGAGTTTTGATAGGTAGATAGGTAATTTATAATTGAGTTTGGGCCTGTTTGAATTGGTCTCGATCAAATAAGGCGAGTTTTCGAAAATCGCCGAGGAATTTGTATTTCCATTTTAATCGATTCCCGTCGAGAGGGCAAATATTAAATTTACCATCAACCGCGTAGTATAAATGTTATGTTTGCGTTCAAACGGCAGGTAAATTCCATTTACAGCTCGATTAGAATTGATTTAGATGTAATTTTTCGAGGAAATTTCACCGGAAACATACGCAAATATCGAAGATATAAAAATATGGATTTTTTTGTAATTTAAAAGTTAACCGAATCCGTTCCTGTCGTCGTAAAATCCCTTAACCGAACGGAGAATAATACCCGGGTAAAAATAACGAACAAAGCCTTTAATTTTCGAACCTGGATTACGGGTAGCGAGCGCATTGGCCAAGGAAAAGCGGGATTGCATTTTCCCGCTACTCTCTATCGTCAGCTTGATTTGCCACTTTTGATCAATGATAAATTTCATACGAAGGGAGAAATAGAAGATAGAAAACGCTAATTAAAAATTAGAAAAAAAAACGGAAAATATTCGCATTGAAACAGATGTACTAGTATAGGGTGTCCCAAAGAATAACCGCATTGAAAAATATACAAGTATAGAGTGGACCAAATATTCAGATTGAAAAATACAGGGTGTTTATCAAATAGATGGTGATATTTTAGAGTGATTCATTGTTAAAAAACTATGAAAAAAAGTTTCTAGTTTCCATTGGGACGCCCTGTATAACAAGTATAGGGTGACTCAAAAAATAATCGTATACATAATCCAAATTTAATTTCGACGGAACGCCAGGCTAAAAGAATTGAAATTTCGGACGCGCCATTGGCGATATATAATTTTTTTTTTAAAAAGCAATAAAACGCATAACAAAAGGTCCATTATTCGAAAATTATTCGTCGGATGACAAATAAAATACCGGCGAATGCCGAAAATTTACATTTTAATAAAGCGCCTATTTTAATCCACGCGCAGGCCGCGTCGAAAATCAACCCCTAAATCCATTTATACACCACCGTCACGAGGTTAAATCTATTAATAATAAACCAAAAATGCCATATACGCCATCAGGTAAATACACCCGATATTAGTCACACTAAAACCGAGTTGCATATAAATAGAACAATAATGATAATAATAATAAATCTGCTTGTAGTTCACGTCCAAAAAAAAAATTACTCATAAATAAAATAAACATTATTATAGTGAAATAGATAGCATTTAATTATCGAACTCACCTCGTAATGTCTTCGGCGCTGATGGCCCGCGGAGTCGAAGGCGGATGGTGCAAGGCCAAATTCGACGAATGCACCGAGTGCACGGAATCCGCGTAACCGTGCGAAACTTTCGTGGCTGCGAACCAAAAAAAAAAAATCGAAAAATCGAAATTTGGAAAAAACCAAAAAAAAATCGATTCGAAATACTTACACAATTGCGGCGAATAGGACGTATCCGATGCCGGAACGTTGAAGGCACTCTCCGGTTTCGCTACGACGAGCACCACCCGTTCCTGCGTCGTTTTCAGCGTCGCCACGGCGTCCTCGTGCGTCACGTTCTCCAGATTCACTTCTCCTTTCTTCAAAAAAATTAATACAGAGTGTTAATTAATAAGTGCGACAAACTTCGGGGGGTGATTCTGCATGAAAATATAAAGATATTTTGCTATATAAACATTTGTCTGCAAATGCTTCGTTTTCGAGATACGGGGTGTTAAAGTTTCTTCACTAGATAACTTGTATTGAGGTAATGAAAAATACACGTCAAGATGTTTTATTTTTTTACTCGAAAACAGCGGCCCGCAAGAAAAAAACACAAGAGAGTTTTTTTGTCACAAATTGAACGAGGAATTCATTCATAATTGAATTTTCAATAAAAATGCCTCAGTTGCGTACCAATTTGTTTTTCTTAAAAAAAATGTTATTATTATCTACCCGTATGCGCGTCAATGATGAACAAAACATTTTTAATTTTATGTCAAAAAATGCGTAATAGTTACCTCTCAAAACCCACCAAACTTCATTTGAATACCTCGTCCGGTTCAAGAGAAATAAATAAATTTTCGGTTTTTAAGAAGAAACTTTAACACCCCCTATCTCGAAAACGAATCATTTGCGAATATACAGTGAGAGTGTAAAGTTTGGAACAAATTCGTTAAATGCTTGATTTGTCCATTGGGGAATAAAAGCTCGGACACGTCGATTTTTATTTTAAAAGGTTGAGTGTTTATACAGGATGTCCCAAAAAAGAGATATGACTTCAACTTACATGTTTTTAAATGGAATGCCCTATTTATTATTTCATTTTTAGTTTGTACGATGAAAATAAACGTAAGTTTCATAAAGGTTTTTTATACCTAAACCTTGCCGTTTTTGAAAAAAATCAAGTTTTGTGATTTATCAGAGCTTATTTTAATGCTCAAATTTTCGGTAGTTATTGTTTTTTTTAGGTAAAATTATTAACGCAGCGTTACAATGGACCAAATTTTATGTTACACTTTTCAATATTTCGGTAAAATGTACAGGATGTCCAAAAAGTATAATTGATTAAATGTCATATTCAAATAGTTATAACTATTCTTTATTTTAAATTACACATCCTGTATAAATACTCTCAACCTTTTCTGACCCGCTTTTTAAAATAAAAATCGACGTGTCCGAGCTTTTTTCCCCAATGGATAAATCAAGCATAACCAATTTGTTCCAAACTTTACACTCTCGCTGTAAGTTTACACAGCAAAATATTATTTACTCATGCAGAATCACCCACTAAAGTTTGTCGCACCTATTAATTAACACCCTGTATATCTACCAAAAACCATTCAACGAATCCGCGTTAACAACGAATCAGTTCGTTAACATCGTCTCTCCTTTTTTTTTTTGGGGGTTCCTCTCGCGCGCCGTTTTGCATAAGTACCGCGTTTTGTTATTTCTTTCGTGTGCTCTTCATAGAGTCGAGTTAGTGCGGATGCTTAGCGTACGCCAAATTGGATTTTCCCGACGAGGAAAAACAGCTTTAAGGAAATCGTTATGGCGATTCGCGAGCGCGCCGAACGACGAGGAGGAAGACGAAGCGGAGGAGAATAAGAAGAAGAAGAAAAAAAAAATGTAGCGAGAAAAACGCCGACTCGTAAGTTCGCTTGTAAACACGCCGAAGTTTTGGGGGGGAAATTCGGGTGTATATAGAGACATTCGGGAGTCGGGAGAGACGAGACGGCCGATGGGAAATTGGCGCGTTAGTCGAGTTTCCGAAGGAAAATTTTTCGTTTGAACACTATTCCAAATATTCGGGGTGGGTTTTTTGTTACAAAAATTATTAAATTATACTCGGAAAAGGCTCTAAACTTTCACTCCTGTTACTTCCTGTCCATTGTCTTTTTAAGCGCCATCTTAATTATCTACTTTTCCTCATCAATATCGGCAACTTGTAGCCACAAAAATCACCAATTAACAAGTCGATAACCTATCCAAAATAAACTGCTCCACAAAAGTTCGCAAATTTTGCGATTATTTTAAAAGTTACAGACTTTTTGATCACCAAATTATCAAATATGCGAAATTAAATGTTTTCTCTCATATCCGAGTGGATTTTTTTACCCCTACCTCTACAACTCTTACCAAAATTAGGCGATCAAAAAACCTGCAACTTTTAATTGAATCTCAACATTCGCGACCTTCCTTGACTTTTGTAAAGCAGCATATTATTGATAAAGAGGGTACTCACCATACAATCCCTGACGGCGACCAATTTGTCACCGACGAGCAGCCTGCCGTCCACTTGGGCCGCCCCCCCGTCCATGACTTTGGTGACGTAGATGCCATTGTCGCCGGGTATGTGCTGGTTGCCGATGCCGCCGGCTATGCTGAAACCCAGCCCTTTGTTGCCCTTCGACAGCTCGATTTCCACCAAGCGCATGTTGCGCGGCTGGCGCCGCCTCCGCACGCACTGAACAAGAAAACGACGTTCCAAAAAACGATTCCATTTTACAATCGATAGCGAATCGATTCGCAATCGATTGGTCTAAGTCGAGAGTGGAGCAAATGCGGGGAGGAGGAATTTCGATGAGATGAAAGAGCCGGTTTTATCATAACGTAATTATCAAAAGATTAACTGACTTTAAAACGGCTACACAAAAGGTTTTTTTTTGGAAAACTTCCATTTCCTTTGTGGCCGAGGCTGAAGCTAAATAGTTCAAAAGAGTTATGCTCGAAGAGATAACGAGAAGAGCCGGATGAGATTTTTTCGCTCGACGTAAGTCGAGCATATATGCGGGATTTAACCAATTTACAATTTCATTTCGTTGTACAGGGTGTCCCAATATATAATTAACTACTAATTACCATTCGCTTAAATGTTTTCCAGTCATTTTAGACTCGCTTCAAAAAAGTTTATTATAGTAGATTTTATCAATTTCCTCGGTTTTTCATTTTGTCCAACAGAGCGTACAACTTTTCCATTTTATTACCCCACGAATTTGGCAATTAGTCGTTTACTCAATAAACGAGCTAATTAGAGCAAAATCACAATAAAATTTAATTAAATTCGATTTTAATATATATTTTTTACCGGAACGTCAGGCGGGTTCCGAAAATTCAATTTGCAAAACAAACCATCCAGCAACGCGAAATTATACTTCGCAAAGCCGAAGGTAGGCCTCGGGAAAATTCAAATTTTCCACCCGAATTCACCTTCGGCGAGATTGATGCCGGGCAATTATGTTAGTAGAAAAAAAAAGAAAACTTTTCCGGCGACTTTCCCGATTCGAAGCCGCGACTTTTCCTCCGCACTTTTCCGCCCCGAAAATTGACTTATAATCCGCGAGAAAAGTTCGGACGTCGCAAAGGGGAAAAAGATGCCTACGAAATCCCGGAAAAGCAAAATCCAATTAACTAATGGACGAAAAACTTGCAGCTACAGATAGTAAATTTTAATTCACTATTGACGTCACAATTAATGCGACGTTGCCACGATGTATTGAGAAAACTTAATAAAATCCTCCTGGTACAAGGACTCTAAAATGTACAGTATTAGTACTTGTTCTCTATAACATACTAATATTCAAGGTGGTACTGCTTTTGGGACCATTTTATGAAATAATCTTCATGTACCTACTAAAGGTCTTCTAAGATAAAGATTAGAAAATAAACCTATAGCCGTTAAGAAACACCCTGTATATTAGTACTTATAAAGTACCAAGTTTCAAGTACCACCTCCCGAAATTTGCTCCCTATATACCTACACTATAATTACACAAGTACTCAAAATATAAAATAAAAACTACTAAAAGAAAGTCGTTGGGTACTCACCAATTTGACGGTACCGCCGGCCTTTTTGAGCGCCTCGACGGCGACGGCGTGCGGCACGTCCACCACCGGCACATCGTTCACCGACAATATGGAATCGTTGACTTTGAGACGGCCGTCGGCGGACGCCGCGCCGCCCCCGATCAATTTCGTTATGTAGATGGCGGTGTCGTCGCCGATGTGCGGATTATCGGTACCGCCGGCGATGCTGAAGCCCAAACCGGCGCCGCCGCGTTCCAGTACGATCTCCTCGTACTCCCATTCATCGTCGCCGTTTACCTGTAATCGATCGTTATTTATCGATCCGTCCCCATTATAGGTACCACCTCTACGTCAGTGATTGTTTGTTAGCTAACGCGTGTTGGTACTTATACATTATACAGGGTGTTAGTTAATTGAGTGCCGATACTACAGGATGTAAATAAACTGCCCAACGAAAGTTAAAGAAGTTCGCAAATTTAGCGATTATTTTAAAAGTTACAGACTTTTTGATTACCAAATTTTCAAATATGCGAAATTAAATGTTTTCTCTCATATCTGAGTGGATTTTTTGCCCATACCTTTACAATTCATATTAAATTTGGCGATCAAAAAACCTGCAACTTTAAAATTATTCTCAATATTTGTAAACTTCCTTAACTTTTGTGGGGCAGAATATTTGGATGATTTTAAGAAGAATATGTCCTAAACTTTTTAGTTTTCGAGCTACAGTTTGAGAAAAAAAAACAAACTTTTCTATCAAAATTTTCTTATTACTCCAGATATATTTTGAAATTTCGGTCACTGAGTAGAAAATATATTTGTATAAAAAAAAGTGTTTCCAAACATGATGGGTGCCTACCAATTTTCAACAAAATATTCGCTGTCTTAATAAATTTGGGAAAAAAATTGTTTTGGTTTTTATTCTTTTAAGTTTCTTTAAGTCGTTTAAGTTTTTTTAAGTCTTCGGACCGAATTTGCTCCAAAATAAATGCGGATTTTAAAAATAATTTTAGTTTTTAGAAAAAAAAAACAGTGGAGTACCATTTTTTCTTCAAACATATTCAGTTGAAACCCCGCACGGACGTCACTGGCAAAAATTTTAAAAAATCTTTCGTCTCAAAAAATGCTCTTAAATAATTCAAAAGTGTGTAAAAAATTTCATAAAAATATCTGGAGTAATAAGAAAATTAAGAGGTGTAGTACATTCTTAAAATCATCCAAATATTCACATCCTGAAGTATCGGCGCTCAATTAATTAACACCCTGTATATGCACCAAAAGTAAGTACAATGGGCGGCGGACATATCGCTCACCTTGAATTCTCGCTCCTTTACTTTCGATATAAGCGGAGGGTTGTGATAGAAAAGAAGCGAGAATGCAAGGTGAGCGATAGTCCATCATACATGTGAAACATGGCGGATATTTCAGTAAGACACCCTGTATATATAATAATGAGGAAATGGATTTTTTAAGGCGGGGAAAAGGCTTGCACGTACCGGGCGTTTGGGAAAAGCGGACCCATTTTTCAGTTCCCAGCCCATCACACAAAACGAGAAAAACCACCGATATCAATTAATATCTACAGTATACGATATTGCACATAACACGATTATTTCTAGGCGAAAACTCGCGCAATTTTCCCCATCGCACCGACGAAAATTCCAAATATCGCGGAAAAACAAAATTCGACCCGTTCGACCGTATCCGCGGATCGCGATAGACTGAAAAAAAAAAAAAAATAATTTCCCGACGACGGTATGTTAATTTTTCGCAAACGGTTTTCCCGAACCCGGCCCACTTTTCTCGTGTCGCTGCTATATTTGCGATACGCGGTTATTACGAGATCGGCCAGAAACTCGAAAAAAAAAAATACGCCAACGTCAAGGACGCCGCGCGTCGCGGGAGAGAGAAAAAACCGACGCCGGGCGTCGCCTCGCGTCTATTAATCACTCGCATTAAAAACGAAATAAATTCATTAGATTAATTAGCGGTCGATTTAAACGAGGTGCGAGTTGATGCGAACGAGGGTCGCAAGAAAACAACCGGGTCGGAATTTTCTCGCGTTTGGTACACCCTGTATATAAGTTCGCAAACCTATTAAACGACTTCAAACAGATGCATTTTGTGCTGACGAAAACGCGGGACTTGCCAAAATGCAGCATTATTTCATAATTTCAATTTTAAATCGACGTAATCTCGACACTTACAATAGTACATCAACAACACACACAAAAATTCAATTTAATCTGACCTGAAGAGGGTCTGATAACAGTCGAAACGTATAGCCAACTTTGATTCTACTATTGATACATCGATATAGTAAATTAAAAAAAATTCTCCCGGATAAAGGGATATGAAAATTGGGTGGGAATGTTGAGGAAGGACGATGGAATGAAAAGCGACGTTCGAAAATTATGAATTTTCATTATATTTTGGCATAGCCTCAATTTTCGACGGGCTAATTTCGGACGCGAAAGCGACAGAAATAAAGGAACACGATGTAATTTATTTTCATTATACACGCTCCTTTTATTCGCGCATATATACAGGGAGTCGGAAAAAAAAAGTACATGAGAAAAATTTACAACTTACCGGTTTATCTCCGCCGCCGAGCAATGGGGAATGAGCCTGGAATTAAAAAGAACATCAGCCATTTAATTTATCTGCGAAATGGATAATTACATACAAAAACCAACTTTAATGAAAGTTTTTTTTGGTTTCAATTAGCGCGAATTTCCGAACGAGAAACTCTTTTTATTTTCATTTTCAATTACCTCATACAGCACAAAAGAGAAAATTGTATTATTTTAACGATTTTGCTTACTTGTCGCGAAATGGACGGAAAAATTGATTCTACTTTTTTTTCTCCGGTATTACAAAAGCTCGGAAAATCCTTATCGAGCGAAAGCCATCTATTCTATCCGCATTTTCTATTTTTCGCGCGCTAACTTAATTAGCGGAGTTAGTTTTTCCGGAATCGAGCTAAACTCGTTAATTCGAACAATCCAGGTGAAAACAATTAGTCGCCGGAGTTTCCCCTTAAATATGTGGAAAAGTTCGCGCAAATATTAACGGCGAGTTGATACAAAAAAAAAAGAACGAGAAATAACAACAATAAAATTTGAAAGTCAAAGCAGCGCGAAAACACACGCCAAACTTCCAATTCGATATAGAAGGAAAGAACAAAAAAAAATACAACACGCGAATGAAAATTTGTTGGCGATGCATTATTCAAAAGGAAAAGCGAATCCCGAGCTTTTCATTTATCACGACGTCTCTTCTACCGTACAATAAAATTCGCCCTCTAATAATGTTGACGTTGGAGATTTTCGTTTCTAAACATTTCCATCGGGAAAAACCGAACGAACAAAAAAAAATAGGGGATTACCACAACCCCGATTGTACTTACATATTCCGGGAAAACTCCCTAATTACACTTGGCGAAAAGAAAAAAAAACTATCCAATTTTTCAAAAATTATGCGCCGTAATTTCTCCTTTACGAGTGGCGTTTAAGCTTCGCTTAAATTCTCCCGTTCCGGCATGCAAAAAGGAGAGCCCATTAAAAAAATATACGGGGCCATCGAAAGATCGCAACAAGTGCTCTTCTACGGGTTATATAACCGCCCGGGAGAACATTAACTCGGGATTAATGGGTCGACGCCGGGTCGACGGGAAATTGGGAAAATAAGAAGGTAAGATGGCCGGGTTATTTCAAACTACCCTTAGCTCGTTTCACTATACGCTAGTTCGTGCATAATTCGGAAAAATTGAGGGAAATTTTTGCGGTAAAGTTTAAGTAAATACAAAGTAGGCACTATAATTGTCAAAGCAGGTTTCACGCACCGAAGAAAACCGTTTTGTAGGGGGAAAATACTAATGGAAAAGAAAAAGAAACCGGAGGAAAATCTTTTCCGTTTTTCGATGTAGCGACGTAAATACGACAAAAACGCTCTTCTTTTCGAAACAATTACGATTTCCCGCCCGGCGGAAAAGCCGCAACAACGCAAAAAGGCGCTTTCCGCGTTTCGAAGAAAACTAAACGATCTTTTTATATGTACCAAGCGTTTTTTGACGAGACGTCATCTAACCCGAGTGCGTATAACATACATCAAGCCCCGAGAAAAGGAGCCCGAAGAAAAACCTTGGTCAAATTGAATTTGGAGGAATTTTTCTTTTTAGAAATCTATTTAGAAAGCCGAAGGAAAATGAAAATGACACACGATGCGGAACCACATGTAACATGGATATTAAATTTATTTCTACAAATTGGGAAATTTGGAAATATAAATAATATGTAAATATTTTTAGTGGACGTGAAAAAGTGTATTTTATTGTATCAAAACTGAGTTTTACAAAGGAGGAGAGCTGAATAGAGATGAATTCGTGAGAAATATAGTAGATTAGAATTGAGAAAAATAGAGTGAAGTAGGGGTGGATTCGTTGGGAATAGTTTAGAGTAGAGTAGAAGTGATTACTTGTGGAATAGAGTAGACCAGGGGTGGATTCGTAAAGAATAGAGTAGAGTATTTTGGTCCGGAATTTCGTTACCGTTTAAACTTAAATTAAAGTAAATTCCCCCACTATTCTAATGCGATTAAAACACCTGTAAAAGATCTAGTTCTAGTACATTTAAATTCCTAATACAAAAAAAATTCTAAAAAAATTCATTAAACAACCAGACACAATTTATTTACCCCAACAGACGTTCATTCCCAATTTATTCGCAGTCCCAACGTTTCCCTATATTCCCGGTATACCGGTGAAAAATGCATCGCGGTTTTTCCGATCCCCATTGCACCCGCCAAAGGGGTTTAAATACATTCGTTACGGGGCCGGTTCGTAAAGTACATAAATCTATGGAAACTCCATGTAATCAGAGCGAATCGAACGGAGAAGTAGTCAACCTGGAGGATTAACTTAACTAAATTCCGGGTTAAATTTAACGACGGTGGATTTTCGAAAAGGACCGTTTCGCAGGGATCGCACGGGATCGGCAATTAAAAATTTCCCCTCGACCGTAACGGGGGATTTGCCTGGCCCTTAACAAAGGTAGATCGGTATAGAGGTAGGAAGTTTAAGTTAACCCGATTATATAGCAATTCGAACGAACTAGAATACGTACAAAGACAATTTACTGGCTTAAATAAAAAAAGAACCCTCCCTTCGATTTGTTCTGGATAATGCCTCCAATTTCTCCTTTTTTTCGCGTCCTTTTTTTTTTTTAAAAAGTTACGACCCATTGAAAGTTCAATTCGCCCGTTCGAACGATTTGTTTTCGATGTAAATAGATTTGTATTAGTACGAGAAACGCCAGCGAAGGGAAAATAAAAGGAAAATACAAAAAAAAAAAAACGAAATAAATATTCCGCCCTACACACAGGGTGTAAAGAATTTCGCTATATCTTCGGCGCGGGATTAACATTTCTTCTACTTTCTGTGTATCACGGAGGCTCGTACTATATAGGACATCAGGCGATTTTTCGCAAACTCTATACCGAATGAAGGGAAAACTTTCCCTTTGGATTTCCCATTGAAATTCAAACGTCGCGTCCTAAAAACACATCCCGAAGGCGGCGCGGGATTCGTACATCAAATCCTACCCGGTTTTCCTCTTTTTTTCTTTCGTCTCTCGCACACACGAAACTATCCCGGAGAAAATTCGAAAATCGAGTTGGTGTGTTTTTAACTACGTATAGTTCAAAGTCGCCGGATTTTCCGAAGGAATACCCGAGAGGCCCGGAGCAGATTTTCGCCGAAAGGAAACCCGATTTTCCGAAAAACCCATCGAGAACTAAAGCAAATTTAAAATTTACAAAAAAAAAACCGATGGAACGTTTCCTTTCGCTCGAGTAATTTCTCTTTCAGCACATCTACACACGAGGCAATTTTAAATTACATTAAATTACCTACCCCTTATCGAAATACATTCATCCAACCCCTTGTAAGTAGATATTAATGATCTTTCAATATTTATGGCGGACTTTATACGCTATACTTGATCCTCGGAGCTCTCAACTCAACCACCTGCCACATACTTCTTCCCGGGTTAAAAAAAACCCATCGGAATTCAAGCAAGGGGTTGCCAATCTAATAAATATAAAGCACCCACCTCTACGAGAGAGCCCCCCCTCCCGGAAAAGCGATAAACTCGCGAGCACGTAAATTCCCATTCGAACAACAGTAGCGTAGACGAGAGGAAAATCCCGCGAAAAGAAGAAACCATTTCTATTGTGCAACCGAAATAAATTACATGGGCAATATTAAAGGTACAACGAAATGAATAGGGATAATCTTTTTCGAAATTTATACGCGGAAAAAAGGGAAACGCCCGCAATTTATTAGCCGGCGATTTTTCATCGGGGGTCGTGGAATTTTTTTTCAAGAGTGCATTTGTCACTTTTATGCGTTTCGACACTATTAAAGCGCCATCGGATCGGGCGAAACGGTATAGAAAGAAATTCCCAGAGAAAGGAACTAAAAAAAAAACCCGGGGCTCTTTTAACCTAACACGCTAGATTCCTCTACAATTCTAAATACAAAAGACATACAAGTGCGATAGAGAAACTACTGGTAATCGCTCGAAATGGAGAGAGATGACAGCATAATTGAACAAGCAGATTTGCTAGCATTTTCAAATTCTTCAGTAGATACAATTTTGGAATGATTTAGAACTGTTCTGGATCGTTTTAGAACTGCATAGGATCATCTAGATTCATTCAGGACGATTTTAGAACAGTTTGGAACGGTCTAAGATAAATCAGAAAAGTTTAGGACCTTTTAGAATGATTTTAAGACTATTTAGAACCTTCACACACACTCTTCATCTATCTATCTTTCACACGCACTATCTACCTCACTTTCCAAATGTCCTATGCAAATGTGGGACACCCCGGGACACCCTGTATAGTAAGAGGGCAACAGGCTATACGACTACGAGTGGAGGTTCGCGCTAGGCGAGGCAACAAAGCAAATATTTATTGTTATCGTTCGAACTCCGCAAACCAACTTCTCCAACTTCTCCGCAAGACGGGAGAGTTAATGAAGTTAGGTCGTCGCGAGAACGTTGCACGTTGCACGGGAAACGTTTGTTTGCATTGTCTGTGAATATCTCTCGCATTTCCACGGCTGCACGTGAAATACATGCACGTAGAGCCCGAGGACTGGGCGATGATAATTACTTCTAAGCGCAAAAAAGTATCTTCGTTTGTGAAGGTTTGTGTTATAAAGGTCCGTTTGGTGGAAATAAATCTGCGTACTTACCAAATCCAAATTGAACAACGACGAGACCTTTTTCATGAACCCGTCCTTTTCCTGTTTGCTCTTTTTCCGACTCCTGGTAGACATTTTTTTTCTTCTTTTTTGTTCGGTGTTTTCGTTCGTTTAAATTTTTTTTTTGTTATTTGTTTGGAAACGATTTCTACAGCCGTTCGGCGACAAAATTAAAACTCTCGCGTCCACAACGCATAGTAAAACTAAAGGATAACGCGCGAAACATTCGTAACTCGTAATATCTGGAAAATAAAATAAACATTTCCATATCAATCGGTGCCGAGTTAGAAGCGAAAAGAAATCAGATGTTAAGTAACCTATTTATCGACCAAGTGCTAATTTCGTCCATTACGGTATAGCTGTTGTGAGCAACAAAATGGAAAACTCGAAAATATTTATTAACCGAGATCTAAAAATAAGCATTTTAAGAATATTAGATGTACCCAACTATTAAAGAAGATAATATTTTACATAGAAAATGAGAACTCTTTCTGGATCCGATTTACAAGGGTAAGGTGAAAAGTTCTCGGTCTGACAATGATACACTGCGATTTTCAGTTGAAAAATTACATTGTTCTCCTTATTAAGTTAAAATCATCAGTTCTAGACAGTTCCAATTGATTCTGGGGCGTTCTAGATTGTTCTAGACAGTTCTAAATAATTATAGAACATTCTAAATGGTTCTAAATTGTTCTCAAGCGTTCTAAATGGTTCTAGACAGTTCTAAATGATTCTGGAGCGTTCTAGATTGTCCTAGACAATTTCAAATCTGTATAATTTTTCACCTTACCCTCGTACGTCCCTTCGGAAAACTACCTGTGGAATTTTCGTAGAATTATGCGACGAAAAAATAGTAAAAACTGTTACTTTATCACAAGCGATTTCCACGAGAATGCCAAGTTATAAAACAAACACGGTTAGTAATTAAAAATCAATTTCGTTAACATTCCTACAACGTTCATTTTGATTGTTATTACGACGAAGGGAATATTGCTAATGTCCCGTTGAAAATATTTCAAATTGGACCGATTTTATACACAAGGTGACTCACAATTACGATTAATGTTAACATTATTTACTTATCATTTTTCAAAGTAGGGATACAATAATTTATATAATTACATTTTTCCGTTTATTTCTCTAATACTAATCAATTTAATGACTCAAACATGTATTTATAAGCGTATCAAATACTTTATCTTCTCGTTTTTATGATCCCAAAAGTAAATAAAGCATTACAAAACGAATTTCCTTTTGCTATTACCTCATTCGTTTGGAATGCCAAAGAAAATTGACCTATATTTCGCAATCTACCTGCATTTTATCTACATTTAGAACGTCGTTTAATAATTATATTTCTAAAAGAAAGTTCCATTTATTCACCGCAGGTATACACAGATAAATTGGACATTAACCTCTGACTCTCTTCCGCAGGTTTTTTAAATCGTACAGTTAACTGTAAACTGTAAACCGAACTTTATGCATAAAAAACCGTTTACTATACAACGTTAAATTAAAGCCATTTAAAAAAATCACAATAGAATATTAAATTTTATCGATAAACAATCCAAGGCGGCCATTTAATGCAATTCTTATTTAGAATTTTTTTGAGGTTATGTTGCACTTTTACGATTTCTATGCATAAAATACCGGCGAAAAACCGAAACTATCGAACAACCGCCGAGAAATTCACCTTATTCGAAACCGCACGAACCTTAAATACGCTGTTTCCAACGATAAAACTCTCGTTATTTCCACCGAGTTAGCAACATAACCACACAACACTAAACCGTACACGAACGCCAACCGAAATGGCGGTGAACCGGGATGATCGCTAATCGTCTAATTCGTCTGAAAAACGGGCGATTTTCGCGATTTCCAGGCGATCGGAACATTTTTTTCTACCGGCGACGGATAGGACGACCACTTGTGGATCGCATATTTCAAATTTCAGCCAACGCTCTGGCAAAGTATTTACATTATGGCGGCGACACGACTCGCACGGCCCACTACGTCACGCGGCGGTACCTCCAGAACCGGCTCCGCTTATACACCACAAACAATTAATTTACTACACACATCTCTCATAACCCAATAATCAACAACCACAACTAATAATCTTTACACTTACACTCCAATACAATTCACACCAAGCACATTAATTCGCCATACAATCCATTTTTGGTGTTAGTTGTTGAACAGGGCGTGTTCGGGTGCTGGTGAGCTGAAGCCCACCCTGTTCGATCACGTTTCATCGAGCATCGCGAGTGCACGAGGATACCCGAACGGTCACGATGCGATGCAAGGTTTTGACAATTACGAATTACAAATTTAAATTCCATTTTGGAGGATTAAAATTTTAATCATTAGTTAAATTTATTCGGTTTTGTGATTATTGGTGTAATTATGTCCCTGCAAACGGACGTTCGCGTTGTAATTTAATTGTAATTCAATATTACCGGCGTGTATTATATTTCAATGATATTGTTGTAATGGTGGTTGCCTATAGTTAGTGAGGATTGTTTGTGCATGCGATTTCCCGGTAATTAAATTCGAAATTAGTAGAAAAAAATAGATTAAAATTCGACTCTATGCGAACAATATAAACAACGGCCCTTCGGTGGATTTAACGCATTAGCTTCAACGCTAATAAATTCGATTTTAATGCCCTATTATTTATACCTAAAATTTGATTTATTTTAAATGGGGAACATTCCGAGCGGATTTTATTTATCGCAGTTCTGGCGTATTAATCAGATATAATTATACACGTTCAGGATATCCGTATGTGCAATTATTAGTCGACGAAAATTAGGTAAAAGAGGTAATTAAGGTTGATTTATAATGGTTTGTTCGTTATTAAAAAAAAAACGTCGGTTTATTCAATTTCTTGTAAAAACTCTTTTATTTAATCATAGCACCGGCTTCAGGGGTAATTTATTTCCATGTCATACTTGTCAATTTTTGTTAATTTTTGAAGCCGTATAGCTACAGTAGCTGAGGCCTCAAACGAAGTAGAAGTAGAAGTTAATTTTTTGACAAACCATTTTTAATCAAAGATGTCAAAAATTGAATATAATGACAACTGACAACTCTCGTTAAAAATTATTCAGAAAATTTGCGCTTATCTTTAAGTAAAATATTATTAAAACACTTACCTGATCGCTATCATTCCCTTGCCAACTGTCATTTCCCTGCAACAAACAAAACATTGTAAAACCCCCATAAATTTTTATCCAGAATAAAAGGTCAAATATCCCTTCTGTCCGCATCCCTACACATTTTCCCGGCACATCCCAATCCGGACACGGAATCAAATAATAACCGAGAAAGAAATCATTTCCCCGCGGAAACGAAACCCATTCGCCTCTCCTGCGAACTCCATCCCGTTCCGTGCGGACTTTTTCCGGCGGCCTCTTCTTTCTTGTACGCGCCGGGCCTCTTGCCTTTCGAGCAGCCAGCCCGTCATTACGCATTCATGGAACACGTACGGCCGTAAAAGCCGAATAAAAAGATACAAGTCTGGAGGCGAATCGAGTCCCTGCAGGGGGCGGAAAGGGCGGCTCTAATTACCCGCACGTACTCCGGAGAAGACGCGCCGCGACGCCGGAAATTCGGGGAAAATATGCCTCTTAGGGTAGGCGGGTTTAAGGGTTGAACTTTCCGTTATACTTGTGCCTTATTTAATTCATTATAGGGCAAGTATTACTACCGCAGGGTGGATAATTTTGTTACATATACTTCCTAGTTTGAGTGTAGTTTGAGTTCGAGTAACTGTTATAGTCCAAACGACAAATCAGTTCGGCGAAAAACCCCGTTCGGTACATTAGAATAATTCCCTCGAACAATCCGATACCCGCGACGGTCGAAATACAAAAGAAAAATCGCAATCCTTCATTCGAATAGAATTTTTCCGCTAGGAAAATCGATAACTAATTCCGAGCTGGAGGAGGAATTTTTATCAGGGCTCCTCCGCGAACCGGACGTCTTGCTTAATGCGTATTTACAAGTACCTTTCATACTTTTCCCGACGTTAATAACGGGGGCGATTTCCCGGCGAGTTTTCCTCGCCCATTACCGAATTAAGATGTTAATGTTTAATGACTCCGTCCGCATTTGGAAATTCAAAATTACCGCGCATTATCTCCCGGCGAGTTTCGATATATTTCCGGCGAAAGGGCGAACGCCGTTTGGTCTTTACACTATTTACATTGTTGCCAGATATTTTGCAAATTTAATTGTAACGTAGAAATTAGTATCAAGTATGCTAGAAAGATGTAATAATAAATTGATTTTGGAATAAATACAGTTTATATCACCATTAGAAGTATCGTGGCAGATAAATCTAAAATTTTAAAATTATCTGCGAGTTATCGAGGTTGAAAATGAACCATATACATTTAATTTAAACCGGCGATACTGGTCCAAATGAGCTTTCGAATCGAAACTATTTCGATTCCAGTCCGGAAGGTTCGCAAACAGTCTGGAAAGTGGAAAACTCATTTTCCTCCGCTCCGCCAGAAACGAAATAGATCGGAGGTATTTCCATTTGGTATCCTTCCAAACGGCGGGTTTCTATAATTCAAACGCATTAATGCCGAACCGTCTCTTATCTCTATTTTATTTTTCTTATTATTTCCCGATACTTATGCTCCAGTTTCGAAGGACTCTTCGGTTATCGATGGGAAATGTAAACGGAAAAACACCACCACAATTCATACTACTAATTTAGTCCTAATGTGGAATAAAAGTAGGGTGGAAAATTGATAGAAGATCCTGTAACGGAATTCAATTATCCCTCTACAGTTCTGTCAGAAGATTCGTACTGCGCTATTATTTCCTCGTTTGCATTGCACAGGGAAACCTTAATGCACTTTACGTGTTAAACAGCCGTCTGTTGTATGCAAATTGAAGCATTATCGAACGATAATCGGGGCCCAATTTGAATAGTTAACAGTAACCCAGGTTTGGTTAACCACCCGGCCGGGCGGGCCAGTAGACATTTCCCATTTCCGCTCCCCTCTGATGCGATTTTACAAGCGAAATTTTTATCTGTAGGTAGTTAGTAATTCGTTTTAATTGGACACGATTTCTAAGACTATTGATGTAATTACGGAGTTGATTTATCCATCAGGGTTTTGGGATAATATTAGGTTTGCAATATGCGCCTGCAGGATCTAGGTTTCCTCGTAAGATAAATGACATAAAATAAACATTCCTGGTATAGAATGCCGGTTGGCTCTCAATTATCGGCCGGTTGGGTAATTAATCGTCGACGAGGAATTTCCCGGCTTCACGACCGCATTTTCCGGCTGCCTAAAATCTCTGTATACATATACAGGATGGTGCGGAATAATAAGAATTACAAAATGCATCAGAAAGTATTGCACGTAGGTACCTACTATGAATAATTTCGTATGGGAAAATCACAGTTTTCCCGAAATTTCCATTCGTTAATTAGCATAATTGGGCGTTTGCTCGAGCTATACCTAATTAAAATTCGTACGAGCGAAATCGCATTTCGAGTTTTAGACCTCTTACGGAAAACCCGGTTATTCAATTCAATTCTCCCTTTTCCATAATTTCGTAGGGAATGCATATTTTCGTTCGTTTTCGTCTGAAAGAGCTCGCTCGAACATGCGAAAATTAAGTATACTTTTTCCCTCGCTATTTTCGCGAAAATACCTGCACATTCGACGTTATAAGGAAAGCTCATTATTATTTTACCCACGTACGCCTAAAAAACATAATTAAAAACTTCTAGGCAGTATTTTTTATATCATTTATACTCCGTTCGTCATTAGGTGATAGTAATAAAAGCTTATTGAAGCAGTAAATTAAAAAAAACTCAGTTGAACTCGCATTTTTTACCACTACAGATCACTAGAAATGTGTTATACTCCGTTCGCCATCAAGAGATAGTAATAAAACCGTTTAAAGCAGTAAATTAAACTAAAAAACTCATTTTAACTCGAATTATCGATCACTTAAGATCACTAGAAATTTGTTATACTCCGTTCGCCATCAGGAGATATTAAAAAAACCTTCTTGAAGCAGTAAATTAAAAAAAACTCAGTTCAACTCGTATTTTTGACCACTAAAGATCACTAGAAATTTGCTATACCCCGTTATCGCCATCAGGAGATAGTAAAAAAACCATCTTGAAGAAGTAAATTAAAAAAAAAACTTAGTTCAACTCGTATTTTTGACCACTAAAGGTCACTAGAAATTTGTTATACTCCGTTCGCCATCATGAGATAGTGACAAAACTTCATTGAAGCAGTAAATTAAAAAAAAACTTATTTGAACTCATATTTTTTACCACTAAAGATCACTAGAAATGTGTTATACTCCGTTCGCCATCAGGAGACATTAATAAAACTTTTTTGAAGCAGTAAATTCAACAAAAAAACTCAGTTGAACTTGCATTATCGACCACTTAATATATCAAGAAACCTGTTTATAGTCAGTTCGTCATCAGGAAACACGAAATTACAAGACGAAGCGATACATACGACCTAATAGAAATCTCATAAGGGCATATTTAACGTTTTTAGTACACGCAAACAGTAATTTCCCCGACCAGAATTTAATATCCCAACTCATCCGAAACGATAATGTATTCCCATAAAATCCTCGTTATGTCGATTGCATTTACGACCATCATACGCTCTCGACAGATGCTATTCGTTAGCATATATTACTAATTCCCCGCATACCTGCATGTTATATACCAAACGGCGTTAGTTCGAAGATCGTTTGCGCTACGATAATCGCGAGCCGTATGCCGAAGGAATCGATCCGAATGCGAAATAAATCGCCCGCCAGGCGGCGGTAATGTATACAGTTTGCAGGGCTTCGGTGGACTCGGACCTTCCGGTTAATCGGCGAGCCCTTAGAAGGGCGTTCGCGCTGCAATGGAGTTCGAGTAAAGCGCAAATTAGCGAGTTCGGGTGATTTATCGATTTCCTTCGAATGATTTATGGATGTTTCGACGAAACGGTTTTGTATCGTTTGTTTAATTTAATTAAATTCGACAGAAGGACCCGGCCCGGGACGCGTTTCATCGCGAGAACCGGAGGAATTCCGGGCTCGATTATTCGGGATTTTGTTTGGAATTCGCGCGAATTGCGTTTTATTTTCATCGAATATTCCCGATTGTGATTGAGGTATTCGTTCGATTGCCGATATTGTATCGCTTTTTGTGGGCGAATTGACTCTATTTTTTTCTATAATTGTATTTTTTGTCGCCACTATTTAATTAAAATCCGCGTTTTGTTTTAAAGAAAACTTTAGTAGAGTTTAAAATGCAAGAAAATAATTACTAAACATTAAAACTTCGTGATTACGCGAGCGCTATTCCCGGTTGGATTTTAGAGCACTCGAACGCATTTGGAGTGTTTAAAGAGGCTTCGCTCTAAATAAACCCGCAGCGCTTTTTCACGATGAAATTTCACAATTTCGAAACATCCTTCACCTCAAGAAACCGCAATAAATTAGGGACATTTATCACCAGTTTTTTTTCCGCGCTCCTGGAAGGGGAACGGGGCAATTAAAAACGGCTCGCCGGAGGATTTTTAATCCCGATTTTCGAACCGGAATCTCCGGGCGTCATAAATCCACCCTAACGTTGATTAATAACGTCGCCGAAAACGAATTCATTCATTTACAATTGTCATGTACCAATCGACGTTTTTTTACTAGTCACTCCCGAGCCGTTTGCACCATGATAATTAGCCGACAGAAAAATACGTACCAGCAAAGGCCATCTCACCATTAAGTACACTTTCGCCCGTCCGAAAAACCGGAATCTCCTTAAACGCCTCAACTTTCTATCGTGAAATCCCATTCCTCGATAATAAAACCACTTTTACACACGTTCATGTCTACCAATTTTTCACTTAGTATACTACATTTTTTTACAAGTCCGAAACTATCTTCACAATCGATTGATTCCCTGTGAATCCCCGATAAAATTAGTATCTACAGTGCATCAAAATTAAAACACCCGTGACGTCACGATCACTAAAAATCGAATAAACTATAGATAAAACAAAAAGGGCGCCTTTATTAGAGGCGACAATAAATACAGGGGCGGCGCGTTTTATACACCCCCTCGGGATTTCGAACCGCCCCTAAAATTGTTCCCGACGTCGTTTAAATTACTAAAATCACATTGTTCGAAGACTATTAA